AACCCCATACCACGGAAAACAAGCTTCATGCCTTATGTCCCGCAGGAGCACGCCGCTCCGATATTATCACTCCCATCGACTAATTTATATCGCGTCAAATATCGTTGCCAATAAGCGACACGCGATTATCGAGATACGTCACATTTCGGTACGATCTAAGCCATCTCGCGGTCTTCGATAGAGTGTCCCAATAATTTCTCCATTATGCAACTGATAGAGACGTTTACATTAAAACAATCAAAAAGATGATGTAACTTCGTTACAAGATAAAAATCGCACATTACGTTGGTAAACTCGTATAAAAAATATAATCCATCAAGTTTTCTTCCTTCCGATTATTTTTTCTCAATTTCGTTATTGGTATAAAAATATAAAGGTAAAATAGAAAAGTGGGATGTCTTAGAGGATATTTCGCATACTCTATGTCAGAATATGTCGGAATAAAATGTAAAATGTGTTTCTCTTCTAATATCATAACTATTTAATATTATAATGATTCGATCATTATTATTCTGTTTAATTCAGAGTCGAAAATTCTTGGAAATTTTTTCGTAAAAGTACAAGCGTGTATAATAAGTTCATACGAAAAAACATTTAGCTTCTAGTTTTTGATAAATTTAACTTAAAAATGAAAAAATGAAAGATGACAGAAAGATAAAGAAAAATGCGGATGTTAAAAATGAAGGAGAGAATACACGCGCGCGTGATTGAAATCGACGAGCATAAAAGACACTTGAATATCATCACACATATGACGTAATTAAGTATCTGAAGAGAATAACTGTAAGGCGAATATATACGGCAATGAGAGATTGGAGATATCGATAATGTTGGTCAAGTATTTATTGACCGTGAAATCACGCGTTATTAAGTAATCGAAATGCGAATCCGACGCTATCGTGAAGCGTAACTCCTCTCTCCCTCTCTCTGAAAAACCAAGTCAATGGCGATTAAATTTCCGCCTGTCTTTTGGCGTCAAGGATTATCAAATGTTCCTCTCATCGCCGTCTCGAAGCGAGGGTCAAAAGAGAACTGTGGACATTGACTGCCTGCCAAGATCCGAGGGATAAGTTCGTCATTGCACGCGTAGGTGAATGGAACCCGTCTTTAATGGGGATCCCATGATGCGCAGGTAGATAAACGTACCGTGAATAGGCCGCGGGACTGAATGAATGGTTAAAGAAACGGCAGAAGAGAAGACGCGCTTCTTTCGCTCCTGTCTCCCTTCAGTCCGCGTCTCTCTTCCTCTTCTTTAAGAATTCTTCACGCGTGCACTAAGCACTTATGTGCTTAGTATATCCGTTTTCCGGTAAAGTTAACACTGGAAGCTACGTCGCTGTAATTAATTTTCGCACCAGCTTCAGCGGCCTCGTAAAAACATACTCATGCTTAGAACGCCTAATAGAACAGCAAAGTTTTACTGTACGAACAATGATCGTGTATCTCGTGCACGAAATCGTCAATTGTCATTTTAAAAATTTTATAAGTCTTTCAAAGACATAAAGGTACCAAATAATCCAAGATTTTGTGAGCTGTGACAAAATGTAAATTATTTTAGAGGCTTATAGACATTTTATTTTTCTCCTTCGGCGAAAAGGAATTTTCCGATATATTTGCTAATCATACGGATAAAAATTGATTGATACCTTCAAAATATGATCTCCCGCAGAAATAAAGATCGCTTAATGATTTTTTGCTTTTTAAAATAAAGAAAAAAGGAGGAAGAAAATGTCATTTTATGGGAAATTTGATATCATAAATATCCGCGATCAAATAAATAATATAATTTCACTTGTTAGAAGATCATATAGTTGATCTTAAAATAACGATGCAATCTCGCGCATTCAAATGCATACATCGCGAAATATAGGGAAGCGATGTATCGAAAGAGTTGAGAGATAATTTTCGAGGACTTTTACTGGGTTCAAGATGGACTGTATCATCGGCGTCTCTGTCACGGTAGCCGTACAGATCCGGAGACTCGTCTTATGCCCAGTCTCTACACAATTCGAGGCTCTGCCTCTGCCGTTGCTGCGCTGCTGCTGCTGCCGCTGCTACACGAGTGTTTGCAGTCCACTCGAAACCAGTCCCGGACGAACAGTCGCGCACGTGTGTGCGTATATACGAATGTGCGTGCGTACGTGAGTGCGTGCGTGCGTGCGGAGAGAGAAAATGGATGGGAGATGAAAGTAGACGAAGATATAACACCGACAGCACCGCGAGGCCAGAAAGGTTGCTTAATTTGTCTAACGAGGGCTCCCTGCACCTGTCATCTGGACACGGAGATGGACGAGCGGACAAAGTACGGCCATCCCCCGTTGGCCGAGCTCCGCTCCTCCCAGGGAAGATATACCGTTTACTTGTTTATTCGCTCGCCTACGTCGTTTCGCTACTTCAACATCGTCAGATTGCGCATACCGGGTTAATAATGCACAACGCGAGCACGCTCATGCCGCACGTATATACAATAGAGAATCTACGCGTAAGGACGCATTCAAGTGGTGCGCAGCGATTAATACCAATCTGTTATGATTAATATATAAATAAATGTAATAAATATTGTCGGGATCACAAGGATGCAAAGTGCGATACAAGACGAATAAACGTGAAATAAACGAAAAAATATCAATGTCGATTGCAGTAGTGTTCGTTTATTTTCTTTTTCATTTATTTCTGATTATTAATTATTTAGTTGATTAATATTCTGCGTAGACACAATACTCCATGATAATTTAAAGAACGATTACGAAGACAAAGTCTCTATCGTATTTCTGAAATAGGCTCTCAATATTTGAGACATGTGTGCTCTAATTCTGAATTAATTTCCTTCAAATCTTAAATACTTAGCCGATTTAAATTCCAGAAGCAATTTTAGAGTTTCAAATTCGAGCTAATAAATAAACTGTTAAAGTAACGCGTCTGCGAGGAAGAAGACGCGAGGTTCTTGCGTTTTTCGCTAAGAAAACCATTTCGTATCCTCGACACTTACTCTCTCGAGGGTTCGCTTCTGTCTGTGCGTGGCGTTTACTCCCCTCGGTAAATCAATCACACACGTTCATACCCCATATAACGTTTTGTTTTTATGTTCGCGCGTAAAGACGGTCGGCGATAGAGCCGGGGCCTAACGCAACACAGGAATGAGGTATAAGAAAACGTAAGGTATAACTTATAAGAAAATATACACATAATATTATGAATAAGATAATCATTATAAAAAAATAACCAATCGAATAGTAAATTAAATGTAAAACGGATCAATAATTCAACAAATGGAATGAAAATAATATTCTTGCTATTAAAGACATCTTGATTTATCAAAGCAAATGTTATTGCAATGTGCATGAGATGTGCATTTCTCGTAAGAATTCTCATCTCAGATTTAAATAAAGACCGAATAATAAAGACTTTTAATATTAGATAGATCGTTTAGAATTGCGTATTATCAGAATGTGCGTTATTACAGTGTGTGGAGTCCCCTTAATTTATTCAAAATATTCTCATAGTCCCAACGATAGGTAAATTGTTTAGCAAACAAAGTACTCGGGCATAGATTGTTATAGGAAACATTTGCCATCGCTCCTGCGCGCATTCTGAATATTACAACAGCTTTTGTACGAACGAACGTATATCGGGGAACGCGGCGAAAACGCGGGAGAGAAGATCGGGGGAGAACGCGATGCACAGGAGGGGGGGCGGGACGACGGTAGGCACGTCCGCTAATTGGATAATTACGGAGTGCGCCGCGTTTGTTTTATAATTGGGCGAAACCGGGGAACCGTCGCTGCCTCGACGTGCCAAACAACAAAACGGCCGGAGTCACGCTCTACGTGACGAACTACCCTCGGAGCTAATCCAGGAGCCGAAGGGTCCCTCGGCTTCCCGCGGCCCCCTCCCCCCCCCCCCCCCCCTACGCCCATGCCGCCCCCGCTGGCTCGTGCTTTCGAGCCCTCCGCGCCAGCCCAACGTCAACCACCCTCCGACTCGCCGGCGATTCATCGTTTGTCCACCTACCAACGGTTCACCGCCGCCCACCTTCGTGACACGAGCGGCGTGGGGCAACTCGTCGTGCTCACCTCCCTCCCCCCCCCGATTTTCCGAAGAGATAAAATAGAATGTAATTTAGATCTAGATCAACATTCCTTTATTGAGAAGACTATTTTGAGAAAAAACAAAATTTTTTTACGTTGGATGAAAGAAAGAGTAAACTGGAAAGTAACCATTCCTCCAATCGCGATAAAGAAATGACAGAATCATCGAAATTCCGCGGTTTGATACAAATAAACTTGTTAGCAATGATTTCCTCTTTCAATCGTAATTAAAAGACAAAATGATGTCGATACGAATAAGAGGAGCAACGAAAACCTGTGCTCGATCTCGCCCGACGCCGTCGAACCCGAAGAAGTCGCGTGCGCGCGCTTTAATTCGACTCTTCTAATCTCGGTATTGTCAAAGGAACAAGGGGGTAAAACAAGTAGTGGGAGAAACTGGTCCCAGTTAGAAAACGATTGACTGACTGACTGACTGATTGCGAAACGCTCTTTCGTTAGGGTCGCAACGCGAGAGCCCTTCCCGACCCTCCAGTTCAATCCCTTCCCTCGCACGGCGTTTCGGTCTGAGCGTAAACACGTCTCGTGCATCACCTAACTAACATCAAAAGTCGTGGATGAGATATCTAGGCGCAATAAGCGCGGAAAAAATCGGAAAACGGTGTTAACGCAACGGCGGGAATTAAACATTTCGTAATTACCCCTAATATTAATTTTTACGATTTCGTTCGTTTAAAAACTTCGAAATATTATTATAATTTTTTCTAGTACATAATTCCGTGCTTCAATTTTAATAAAAACTGAATCTGTGCAATTATGTCAATGAACAGCTACTTAAAGTATTTTAAGCGTACTTTTCATTATTTTTCCATCTTTAACGTTTACATGTCTGGTAGACGTATCATCACTAACTCCTAACGCGAGATGCATGCGTACAAAAATTAAATGACTTACCATGAAACTGCTGGTATAAATTCACTGGCGGGGGAATATTCGCATACGAAGCCGGTCTGTTGTGGTTCATGTGATGACTGTAAAAGAACAATTTGTTTAATTTTTTTATCTTACTTAATATCTGCATTCGCGCAATTATGTGATAAAATATTTCAATAATAAGTGAAACAAGACCGATATATGATGTACAAATTATAAAATATTTTATTACAAAAAGAAATAAAATTATTTCTTTAATTTAGAAAAATTATACATATACGTATCTATATTAAATACTAATCCATAAGAATATCATAAAAATTTTGAAAAAAGAGTCGTAAACTATCTCGGATTTAAATTAAGACGCTGTATTTAAATTCATGTTGTGATAAAAACTAATTGCAAATTGTCAACATGGCAAATATTTTTATTACAAATATCTTTTATGCATCTTTTGTTTAAAGCGATAAAAGAAAAGCGAAAGAAGAGCAAGAGAATTCTAGATACACGAGATATATTTGTTGGTAAAAAAGTACACGGCATTAATCGCAGCGATTAATAATAATACTCACTCGAGCATCCTGTGTCCTGCCTGTCCCAACGAAGCTGACTGCGTAGAACGAGTGAAACCGATTTGCGGCGTCCACTGGCTGCCGTTTTTGCGATTCATAGCTTCAAAATCTTGCGGCTTCAGGACGCGCGGCGGCTCCTTGGCCCCCTTTAGCTTGCGAGCCAGGAAAACATAATTGCCACCATACTTGGGATCCTTGTACTTGATACTGTAAACCAAGGGAAAGGACATCCAGTCTCTTGTCTATCTTTCATTGTCGGTAACGGTAGGCAATCATATTTTAATTCGATTTAAAAAGATTTGCGTAACATATACGAACCAATACACTTTGTTGTTCCTGACCGGTAAACCTCTCACGGGTGAAGGTAACGTGCCTCCGTCGCTCACACAATCCTCCGATAGGACCACGGTGCCTCGCATCCCATTTATACTTATCTCGACCTCCTTGTCGAACCCTATGCGATTCGTGTACAGACCTTTTATAAAGTCGTAACCCTTATTCTCCATTCCGACGTACAGTCGGTCGTCACCGCGAATGTTTCTCTTTTCTAAAAATGAAAATACGATATATGAGATAAAACTAGGAATATAATACCTGATACATGCACGTATAAATGCGTATATTACAATTACACCGTTCCGCATCTCGACTTTAACTTGAAAATATCCGAAATGTAAATGTAACTCTTTTTCCCGCAACAATTGAGACAAGGAGGGGGACGCATCCGGCGTCCCTCGAAATCTCCCTAAAGTTATCAGGAGAATGTATCGCAACGAGGTTGTGTGATCCGATTCAAATTTCACACTAGCTCCTAACATCGTGAAGTTAGCTCTTGAAATTCATAGCGTTTTTTCTTGGCTGCACTATCGCCTACTAGTACAACACTAGTGCAACACTAGTGCAACGCTATTGGGTAGTGCAGGGCAGTGCAGGGCGGTAGTGCAGCCAAGAAAAAACGCTATCAAATTTGCAGTCTACTGCAGGAGGCGCCAAATTTTAAATTGGATTTAATTAGCGCTACGTTGCTCACGTTGCCGGGCAAAATATTATTAAATAAAATTTTTTAAAATACTCGATCCTGGGTAAATTTTCGTGATCCGGAGATCCCTACTGGCAATCGTTCAGATATAAATATTTAAATAAACTTTTTGTAACGTAATATTATAGATTCATGTAAAGTATTATTATTTAGACTTATTTGTTTCATAGATGTGCATTTAGTAGCGTAATAATATTATATATTGCTATAAAACTGATCATTTTTCCTCGGTTATTACTTGAGTGAATATTCAAATATGTGGATGATAACTGTAGAAATGTAATTTTAAACAATATTTTATAATTATATTCATAGTTATTCATTAATTTGTATATTGAATATATTATTGTCATAGATGTGAGCTCTCCATATTTCTACTAAATATCTAGGTCGTCATAAAATTAATACTACGTCGCAAGTTAATTATCTAATCTATTGGTAGTCATGCAAATTTGCGTGAAGCAATCGGTCTTATCGTTAGTTTACGAAACATTTGTATCACTCACTTTCTGCCTCTGTTAAACTGTCGTAAAACGGTGCCAAAGCCTTGAACAATCTTTTCTCGTCAACAAATGGCAGCAAAGCTACGCCTTGCCAAGCAAATTTCTTTCCATTCAAGTCGATTTTAAAATCTTCTGGATAAAAATCAATGATTGGAGATTTCTGTAAATAAATATTGGATAAAAAACGTTAAAAGAAGATACTAAAGTACTATCTGCTAAAAGTAAATCTACTAAAAGCACTAGCGGTTGTCTAATTCAACTGTACAATAATTAAATTTCTTAGCACTTTATTTTAATACTCCCACCAATAATTTAATCGTTTCAATTTAAAATAAATTAATATCATTTTTCCTTTTTTCTGATCATAATAAAAATATACGTACTGGATCCGTCATTAATTTCGCCCATGGCTCAGGCACGTGTTTTCTGCTAGCAGCAGGAAATACACCCATCAATTGTTCTAACGGACGAAACTGTAACAAAATATCATTAAATCATGCACGTTTGTAAATTACGCTTACACTTTGCAAAGAATATGCAATACTTACTGGTACAGTGTCTTTCTCAAACTCTGTAGAAAGACCACCAATATTAATAAAGTCGCTTGCAAATGGCGCATAATGATACGGGAAATACCAACGCCACGACGCACAACCTTGATAATAATATCGCAAGACCCAACATAAACCTCGCACGTATTGTAAAGCGACGTTATTTCTACAAGCAGGCAAGTGAAACCAGATTAATATGAGATCACGCACGATCCTCCGAAGTAAATACTATCTTTCAGAAATAAAAGCAACTTTTGCGTATAAAAATTATTCTATTTCCATTCATCATTACCTAAATGCGAGATTGTCGGCAGATACGTCGAATTTAGATTCATAATATCGATCTTTAAAACCATCCTCCCAAAGTCGCACCTCATCGTGCGCCTGGTCATCATCCGATTCATTGCTCGGCGTAACTTCATCAATTTTACGTTTCTGTCCTCTATTGCCTGTATTCTAATAACAAAATTTAGAATATATAAATATTATATTACACATACAAGCGGATGTACTAAAAAACGGTTTCAAAAATTTAAGAACATGTAATATTCATTGTGTTAAAAAAATGAAATTGAATACCTCAGGTTTTAGCATGCTTTCTAAGGCGTGATTAGTGTTCGTCTTTTCGGCAGCATTCGTATTATAATTTCTACCCTGTACACGCATTTTATAAGCTTCATAACGTGCATTCTCTATAGGTTTTACTGGTTGTCCAAGGGCCTGTAAAGATTATAACGATATATACCTATATTGAAAATCGTATGTCACATCTCAATCACAGAGTCAAAAATTTAATAATAAATCTTTTCTTAGCAACATTTGGATAAAGCTGACAATTTTCAAAAACTTTGTTTAGAAAAATTTGAATTAAATCAGTTTAGTTTAGTTTCTTATAAATGTAGAGTACATAATAAAATTGAAATCTTACAGTGGGTGCAAATTGACCTGCAGGAATCCATGTCGGTTTAAAACTACTGATAATTTCGTTTCTTTTCTTTTTGTCTTTTTCACGTTGTTTAAAAGCCAATTCATTTTGTTGCCTCCTTTTAAAGATCTCATCTTCTACATCACCAAGATCTGACATTATCAATTGTACGCGATCTAAATTAACATCGCCGCTATCTGTTAAGAAACCCTGCAAATAATTAAAAAAAATTACTTACTGTAAAAAAATTTGCTTTAATTTATTTGATATTAACATTTAAGAGACAATAGGTCTGTTCGTTTTCGCCGCATTTCTGAACTAGCGCAATAAGTTAGAGTGAAACATATATAGTATATGTTCTTTCATTCTAACTTATTGCACTAGTTCAGAAGTGCAGCGAAAACAAACAAGCCTATTTTCATAAATTTATAGAATTTAATTAATAATTACAGATATATATAGAATATTTTTTATAGCTCTAAAAATAATTAACTCAGAAAACTTAGCATGAATTAATTATTATATATAACACAAATAAAATATCTACAAAATATATCTCAATTCTGTTTAAACATAATATTTAACAATTATATAAAGTATATTGTAAAAAAGTATAATTTTGTTAATCAGAGTTGATAAAGATATAATTTTGTAATTATTAATTTATCATCTTGTTTTGTAAGAAATATTACATACTCCTGTTTTATATACTGCTTTTTTGTATAGAGCAACAAGTCTGTCAATTGCGCCTTCTCTAATTTCCAGAGAAGGGAGATGAGGTAAAAAATCGTTTCCCACGAAGAAACACATAAACACCCAATCATCGATAGCTCGCTCAAAATCATACTTGAATGGTAGATTTGGCATAGACAACTCTCTTTCTAAATATTCTCTGAGAACATTTAATCGCACGAATATGAACTGGCATTCGGATCCGTATACGTTTTCCTCCGGCTTTTGGCTCGGTTCCGCGCCTATGCAGTCACGCATTTCATGCCCCAATTGACCACATATATCGCAAGGCTTTGGCTTATTTGGCTTAAATTCCTCGCGAATAATAGTAAAATTAGGTTCGTGTGTAGCGAGACCCAACATAATCAAATCGGCATCCGCTCCGCATAAAACATGTTGCGTATTAGGATCGTGATCGGGTTGTGCTATAACACATAAAAAAAAACCACAATTTTTTATTTGTAGCAAAGCTATGTGATCTGCGCATATAAAATAATCTTATATACAAGCTTACCTCTTTGTCGCCGTATAAAATCCATTATTTTATGTTCTCCTTCACCGGGAACATTAGCATCACTTAATATTACTTTAATATTCCTCCAACCTGGGTCATTATTCAAGCGATCATGAATGTAGTAATGCAAGCAGGCCGATAATCTCGCCATAAATGGTGTGCCCTGGAATATGAAACGTTTGATATACCTATACATTTACGCAACTTTACAGTTTACTCAAATCAATCAATATTTTTCAAAATTAATCAATGACAATTAATAACAAAAAATTCCGTTCCGTTTGTCAAAAAATATGAAATTAATAATTAAAATTAACAATTAATTTAAATATTTTTATACATATTTTGAATTCTGTTTATTTTATTATATTCAATTGTTACAAACCGGCGTAATGCAGTTACTATCGAAATGCGCTTCTTTCGGTTTTTCCGGCGGTAAAGATGCCCCTTTGAGAGACAATTCGGAACGTATCCTCTCTATTTCATTAATCTTTTCTGTTGTTTCTTTCGATGCACGAAATCGTCGAGATCTTTGTTGATTCATCTTAGCTCTGGGCGCCTGTACAACAACGCATTGCTCATTATAATTATTCCATTAGTTTTCTTTTCTGAATATAATATATGTAAAAACACTTACGACTCCGTCAATCGCCATGTAAAGCAACTTCCTTGGTCTGACGATACGAAACAATCTGTCGATACACTCGAAAATAGCCTCCATCATTTCATCTTCATCCTTGGGAGCCGGCCTATATTTCACACAAGCACAATATCACATAAACAATTCCTCATAGATTTATTTATAATACAATTCATTAAAAATTTTTTATGTTATACATATATAAATCATTCCTTACAACATCATGTTTTTATACTCACTTGTCCTCTGGATGCGTACAGGGGTGAATTATACCGTTCATGTCAAGATATAAATTATCAAATTCTACCCCGTTTGGATTCGGCTCCGCTGAATTCACAGGAATGGATACTCCATCTGGAGTTGCTGTCTAGGAATGTAAAGTATCAAAATTTTATAATCTTCATTATGTAAACCATCGGTAGAATGTCACTAAAATAAATTGCTAAACTTTGGCAATAAACTTAATTCCATCTTAAATGCAAGTAATTCATATGACGGTAAATCCAAAAACGTATATCAACCATTTTTTATCTGAGCCAAACATTGTCAAGAATATTTGGTATTTTAATTAGGTATAACACTAAATATATATTATATTTAAATTAAATATTTTCTTTTACATATTAATATATCTCATGAACGTTCAAATATTGACACAAGAGTCTAAAATGAAACCTTTTACTTATTTTACTTATTTTAAATTGTTTGTTTAAAAATAAACAAATTAAATTATATAAAATTAAAAACAAAGCACATAGAACCAAATCAAATCTGTTAAATTCTAAAGAAATCTTTCCAAAGAAACGAACAAAAAATCTTTATAATTATGAAAGTTACACAACACAATTTTCCACAAGAAGAGAAAATCCTTCTCCTTACACTAATTTAAGACCTTTGATATACAAATAAAATGTGAAAATTGTTTAAATACATAAAAATTACTGAAAAATTTTAATTTCACAGATATTGAATTTGATAAACGGAAGAAAATAGAGGATTATAATAATCGTTCTGAAAAGTTTCGTCAAATTAACCATGCGGTTAAAAATATAAAAATTAATTAAGAGACTCTTACACGTTCGCGTTCATAATAATGCATATTGCAATTAAAAAATGCGCGCGATCTATAAACGCAGCGGTTTATCGAAAGAAACTGAATTTCAGAAAGCAAGATGCGAGTAATTTCACTGCAAATATGTAAAACGAAGGGGAAAACTTCTTTGGGAGTTTTATAACCTACCTTCTGCTCGATGCACTCGACGATCACGGAGGGATACTTGCGGCTTAACCAACGAAAAAATGCCGGGACACCCATCCTTCGTTTCGGAATTCACTTGACAATATTACGAAAACCTCGAATTAACAGTCACGGCAATATCGTGTCATATTAAATCAACTGCATATCGTCTAACCTAAATCTGGACGAGATGGACGCGGAGTACGCAGTTGGTTAGGGTTCTTGGGCTCTCTGGTTGAGCATGAATTTATTATACCGTGATACGGAACACGAGATACGATTTCATGCCACTCGGCTTTTAACGCCACTCGTGGAAAAATGGGGCAACGTTTTTTTTTAATTTATGTACTTTGATATCGCAGATTAGTAGCAGCGATCGAAAAAACGACTTGAGTTTAAATAATATAATTGAAAAATATTTCATAGATTTTTAATGATTTATGTAAATCGCAACTTTGATGCTATGTTAATCACTGATAATTTTTTTAATTTAATCATAACCGACACCCAAATTTCTTTTAAGGATTTTGAAAGTCCTGACAACATACTTAATTTTTATTGCAATAAAATATGTAGTAATATGCCAAGATACCCTGAAATGGCTCTTTTTTGCAACTTTAACTGAAAATTTCTCAAAATTGTGACATGATAAAATTGATAAACGAGATTATATAGTGCTCAAAAAACTAGGGGAAACGATTATTCTCGTACTTATGCTCGAAACAAAGTAATTTTTTATTATAAAATGTGTAAATGTGTGTAATAAAGGGAACATTTCGGGGATTCGTACCCTCTATTAAAGAATCTACATCATTACGAGATGGCCTTCTCACAATTAAGAAATGCGGTATAATCAGAAATTAATTCGGTCAATTAGAACTTAGAACTCGCTTTTGGTTTCCTAAACTCCTAAAAAGAAAAATAAAATACTTAGGTGTAACTGATTTTGAACTGGCAAATAAAATAATCGCAGCAGCATACAGATTGCATAATTTTATAATAATAAGATACAATATAAACATAATGGATGAAAAAAAATGTACATCTCAATGAATAAAATGAAAAGAAAAAAAGAATACAAATTTTGGAGGGTACAGAAAAGCGTAGAAATATTGTTGCTCAGTTTTAATTACTAAATAAAGAATACGCAATTTATAAACATGTTATGTATATTGTAAAAAAATATTTAAATATTTACGTAAGTAAATACGAGTTAAATTTTAACCTTTTCCGTTTCCTTGTAACTTAACAATTAATGCTTTAAATATCTTATTTGTTTCTGCTTGAAGACGATTATTTTCTTCTATAGCTATTGTTAGTTTATTGATTGATTCTATTTCTCGTTTTACGCACTCAATCCGGTTCTCTCGTAATATGTGTCCAATTTCTGTACCTTCCTGAAAAATGTTGTTCATAGTTTCGTACCATTCCCATAATATACGTCTATGACCTACAGTATTTTTCTTATTATTATCTTGTATCGTTTTGTACGTATGTTTCATATTTCGCATTTTGCGATCAAGCATATCTATCGTAATACAATGGCCCTTCTTTGCAAAATCTTGTTTGATCTCTTCCCATACTGTCCTCTTCCTTAACTTGGGATTGCGAAAGTCGTTTTTCCTGTTTGCATAACATTCTAGTAGTAGTTTTGTCTTTTGTCTGGTCCAAACGAAAGTCTTATCAGCTGTTTAAAGCAAAAATAATAACTTTGTATACTACAAATATAATTCAGATCAAAAAGTTAGGTTAGGTTATTAACAATGTATATACATACCTTCGTCTGATGTTGATCCTGTTACTTTCGTTACTTTTTGCTGTGAGAAATTCTTCTTCAAATAATTTTGAACGAACTCGATATCTACAAAATGATTGTTTCTATTAGTACACAATCGAATACAATAATAGTAAATATTCTTTTTTTACATAAACAATTCTACATACCCATTTGTAACTTATTATGTATTTCTAAGGTGTCTGTGATATTATATACGACATTATTATAACGGTATTGAGCTTCGTATAATGCTGGATTTTGTGGAACACTATCAGCCTCTCGTTCACAGTTTTTCGTACAATATTTATGATCAGCCTCCATATTTATCACCTGTTTATCGATTTATAAGCCTTTCACGCGTACTACTCAGCGTCTCAGCGTAGTCAGCGTACTTTCCTTTCTCTGACCCGAGAAAGATGATAACCGTTGAGGGCGTTGAGTAAACGTGTTGCAACGTTGCTGCGTAGCGTTTCAGCAGAAAATCACTAATCGCTTACTAAGCGCTTTATCTTTGTTCTGCTGAACGCGCGCAATAATTTTCGAATCTTCCGCAATTTCATTATTTTTTACATTCGAAAAAAAAATATTATTAGCATTTGCTAAGAAATTAATTTCTCGTGTGCGTTTTCAAAAGTTAATTATTTCTTATAGCGAATT